ATGAGAATGCACTTACATCATCGGCGAGCCAAGCACCATTCGTCAGTACATCGTCCAACCACTTCTTCACGTTCGAGATGGTCCTCACCCCAATCTTATGGATGTCCCAAAAAAAAATGAAAAAGTGAAGTGTTACAAAAAACATAGATGATCTCGTATGTACTTCAGGAAAATCATACATTACTTACTCATGCTTTAGGGATTTGAACCATTAATCAAACGCCTTCTGCCGAATCGGGTTGACCTCGCGGAAGAGATTGGGAAACGTCCCGTCCAAGAACGTCCTTCTCTTCACTTCGATCGTGAAGGGAAAAACGATGTACTGTAACAGAAATCTCGATCTCTTACCAACAACCAACGGTATCACGTCAACAGCACACTTCGTACCCTTCCTCACCTCCGTCGCCCCCTCGGCCTCCTTCGGTACCCCCTCAACCTCCTCCGGTACCCCCTCCCCTTCCGCCACCGCCATCTCCCACCACCACCTCCGTTGGTACCCCCCACCGCCTCAGTCGATACCCTGTCCGTCATCTCCGTTTGTACCCATCCACCTCCATCAGTACCCCCTCCTCCATCTTCTCTGGTATCCCCTCAAAAAATAAGTCGTAATCTCCCCCCGGCCATGACAGATCAACATACCCCATCAGACTCGCTCCACCGTTACCCATCCATCCCGATGACTGCGAGTCCCTCATAAGGCTGCTATGTCGCCCCGTAACGCAACAACCTTAGTCTGAAGGTCCCCTATCTCGCCCTGCAGATCTACCACGTGGTGACGTAGAGCTCCAACATCATTATATACATCGTCGATATAGCCCCTGAGCTCTCGTCGTATCGCCCATCTCCTCCTATAGTCTGGTATACTGATTGTCGACCTGTATTCCCAACTCTCGATGCATCGCGCCATCTGACAGCTATAAATTTAGTAAGGTGGTCGTACAGATTAGTGGACGGGGGAGAAGGAGACTTGATCGGTGGCGGTGAGGCCCACGACACGGGTGATGCCCTCGGCGATGGGGGTGAGGCCCTCGGTGGAAGAAGTGATCTCCACGGCGGAGGTAATACTGGACGACACTCCTAAAAAAATCAACAATCCGAATTATTAATTTAATTAAAAAATCAAAACGGTTTTCAACATATTATATTCAATGAACATACCGCCAATCAACGATGGACTTGAGCATCTGATCATCTGAAGCGGACGGGATAGACAAGCAACACATGTAACTCTGACCCTCCTCCTCTATCGACGGGGTCAACTCAGTGAGGACTTCAACCTAACATATTGACATTTTACCGAGTTAATAACCATGTATCGATATTTTAAAAGGACATACAATATAAATCGCAAAGTGTATAATACGTACCTCAGGATCGTCTGGAGAGCTGATATTTGTTTTGCAAATGGCTTGTCCCGTGTTGGACATTGATAAATCCGAAGGCAGAACGTCTCCACTCTACTCGCATACCGGCCAGCCAATATGGAGACAATCTCGTATACCCATATCTGCAACAATTACAATTATTATGTATAGAATTTAATAAAAAAATAGAT